AGTGTAGATTACTTACATCCTGTTTTTGTAAGTTTGATTTTGATCATGGATATCATTTTCAAAAATTTATATTTGGGTAAAACCAGAAATTCAGATCTTTACAGATACAGTTTCATTTCTAGGCAGTCAAACTTGGACTATCCAAGAACTGATCATCTGAGCAGAGACTTGCCCTGGCCGTGTGTGTCCCCCGGATTGTCCCGGTTCCTGACGTCCACTCATCAGATGCTTCCCTCTCCACCCGGCCCTGGCAGCCCTCAGCAAGAGAGGAGATGAGGGCAGGGGACCGAGGCGCCCATCACAGGCCCAGGTAATGTATCTGATGAGACAAATGACTCAAACCAGGCTGAAGATTCCAAATATGGTTTCTTTTTCACATTTTTGTTTTAATTCCAGTTAGTCAACATAGGGTATTATATCAAATATAGTTTCCTATTCTCCAACTTACTATGAGTGGGATGTGTGACACGACTGGGGACATGTTCTCCAATATCTACGTCAAGGAAATATTTCCCTTGCCGACCGCCTTAACCTGAGGCAACACGAGGGATGGAGAGGAAAGGATCTGAAGGCCTACCTCTCCCCGCTCCCTGGTCGATAACCAGCACCGATGTCATTATGCATTTCCCCTGCTAAAATCATATAATACAACCTAAGGAACTTCCAGAGAAAAGGCGGAACATGCAAGTCACAAAATAGTACAGGTTTATTTGGACAAGCTAACTGCACAGGGTGGGTAGGAAAGTAAGTAAAAGTCAAGTATGTTTACGTTATTTAAATTCTCTGCCAGGACAAGTTCTAAATCACAGTCTCCCTTCTTGGGTGGGTGGCTTCATCTGGACTGCTACTGCCTTCCCCACCCTCCCCCCCACCCCCGCCCGGCCTGAGTCCTCTCCCCGCTTCTCAGGTGGGGCTCCGCTCAGCCAGCCACACCCGTCCACCTCCTCTGATGGCCCTGTCACCCACTCATTGGCTTTGTGTTCCCTTGGCCCACGCGCCCGCGGTTGCGAGGCCGGGATACGGTCTTCCAAGTTCCATCGGCTCCGGCGTCACACCGCCTGACGGTGCACTGGGCACATGGTAAGCATGAGGAACCTCAATGAGTATCTGGTATGTGCCAAGGACTAGGGATTTCAGATGAATAAAAAACACAGCCTTTGCTCAAGGCTTCAAGGCTCAATCCCTTCTCAAGGACATTGTGGATTTATTACCGTGATCTCCAGCAACAATCTCTCTCTACCAGAGCATCCCCCCGCCACAGCCGTGTGCTTTACTATCTCCCATTCCGCATGCGAACAAAAATCGGACCTCTTTCGTTACTTCCCACCTCTCAGCCCCCTTCACAGCTGAACGTCTCTACCAAGTTTCCCGCAGGTGCCACACCGACCTCCTCCCTTCGGAGCCCATCCCAGCAGCGCGGCGGCCGCCTCTCCCCACCACGACCCTGGGGCTGCGCTTCACTGCGCCCGGTTTCCCGGGCAGCCCTCGGCCCTGGGCTTGGTCCAAGCCCAGTCGTTCGTCGGCCACCCCCTCCCTGCTTCAGAGGCTCCTCCCAGGCCCTGGTTTTCCCCGGGAATCCTGTCTGACTCCCTTCGTGGCTCTTCCTCTTACACTTGTCATCATTCTCAAGAGATCTTCTCTCCCTGGATGATCTCCAAACGGTCATGCAAGCAAGACTCTACACTAATGATGCCCACATTTCAGACGTCTCCAGACCTGGACCTTTCCCCTAAGCCCCAACCCCACATATCACATATATACCTGCTGATCTGACATCCCCACCCCGTGTCCTAGATCTCGAGCTTAGCACACCGGATACAGAATGCTTGGGTGTTTCTCCCCCCAAATAAAACTTGCCCCCACACCTACCCTCGGCCCTCTCCACCTCCCTGCAAGGTAGCACAAGTCACTGAGTTATTAAACCAGAAGCCTAGGAGCAATCCTTGGTCCTCCCTTTCCTTACTGCTGTCACCCACGTACCAAATCCACCAGCCAGCCCTGGACCTAGAATATATCTTCCACCTTCCACCTCCCATCCTTGTCTCTAATGTCACAGCCGCAGCCCTCCCTCCCCTGGCTCCCCACCCGTGTTCTAACTGGCTCTCCCCTCCTGCCCTTCCCCTTCCCACTCTGCTCTCCCCAGTGGCAAAAGTAATCTTTGTAAATCGCATCACGAATCAGGTCACATCCCTACTTGCAACCGGCAGGGGCTTCCTAGCGAGCTAGTGCTGACCTGCACGCTCTTTCCCACGAGGATCTATGTCCCCTGCCCCACTGGCCTACACTAGCTTCCAGCCTCCTCTCAGGCCAGTCACCGCCTGCCACCTGCATTCTCCTCATTCCCATACTCCAGCCACCCCGGTTCTCTCTCAGCCCCTCCAAGACTCCAACCCTGGTCCAGGCAGGCGAGACAGCACAAGCAGAGGCCTGAGAAGGAAATGTTCTCTGCCCTTTTCTAGCTCCTTCTCTCCTGTGGGGTCTGTTCAAAGGATCATGGCCATAGGGAGGCCCTGGCAGACAGAATTTTATTCCTTCTCATAGTCCTGTAGGGGCAAGCATAGTCAAGTTTACACTTACTTCACTGACTTATTTCTCTTTCTGGGGGTCTGCTTCCCCATGCAAGCAACGCAAGTTCCCAGTGTAAACTCCACATGGGCCGTGGACCCCAACACTTAGCATGGTGCCATCTACAGTAGAAACTCAATAAATATTGACGGTTTAAGTGTATCAAGAAAGGACTGTACCCCAAGAAACGTGTTAGCATAGGACATGCTCAGAAAGTTCTATGGAAACATGAATAAAAAAGCTCTTCAGACACCAGGCTGGGTCTTTCAGAGTGGGAGTGTGTCTGGATTAGCAACCTGTACGAAAGCACCGAGGACAGGAGAGGCTGATGCACTCGAGGACAGGCTGCATCACGGGTCCAGACAGCAGTGGTCGGCCGTGCCAGACTATGAGGCATCAACGCAACCAGGTAATTCCGGTCGCCATGCGGAAGTCCTGTTGCGAGGGCGAGGACGAGGACGGGAGACTGAGACAGCAGCAAAGACGATGCTGCCCTAGGAGACTGAGACCCTCTGAACCACGGCAGTGGAGAGGAGAAGCCAGACGAGGGGCAGACCAGCAGACAGGCACGGAAAGGGTCTGACTGTGTGACTGAACGAGAGACTGTGCACTGACGAGCCACTGAGATGCAGTGTCACACACAGGCAGGTTTGCGGGGGAACCTGTTGAGTCACTGGGACGCACCGCGTGTCAGGTGCCTAGGGATGTCCTTGTGCAGCCAGGACACAGAAGGGCTCAGGTGGAGGCTTTGGATTCAGAAACTAACATACACTCAGTGAAGGCCTCCCTGGAAATGGAGCTCATTATTCAATGTTTGGTTCATATTTGCTGCCCGAACCTTTCAACAAGAAGTTAAATGGAAGAGAAGAGTGCCGACACTTTCCTTAGACCATTTCCTCTGGGAAGAAAAATGGGAAAATTCAAGCCCAAAACTGGCAATTCCCTCCAAACTCCTAGAATGTTAGGCAAATAAAACTGTATTTTAAAGAAAGTAGCGATTCTGCATGTTGCTCTGAGGGTCATATGAGGCCTTGCTAAATAAGGCTGAGTGTAATAATCTTCTGATCTCATCGGTGCTGATTTGGGATGAGAGCGAGGGCATTACAAGGAAGCTCATGTACAAAGTTACGTTAGTAAATGTCCTTTAAGGGAGGACAGTCTGTAGTAACTGCTGACTCGCGATCACCCCAGATAGTTCTCTGGTGGCTTTAAGAACGTTCTCCTTCTGGGTATTTCCCCCTCACCACTCATCATGCCTCACTTTGTCCAGCATCCCTGCACCCGCGCCTCTCATGCACACACACGCATGTGTGTAGGGTTGCACACTGCCGGAGCTTGCCTTTAAGGCTTCGTACCTGGAAATTCCAGGCAGGCAAGAACTGGGCAGCAGCCTCCCTCGTCCCCTCCGTGCCATGGAATGAGGCCACGGGACATCTGCTCCCTCTGCTACCAGCTAGTCAGACACTCAGAGAAGTGCGAGGAGCCCAAGGCCGCAGAGAGGAGGAAGCCTTGGGTGAACAGCCAGAAGGCACAGGCCAGCCCCCCGTGCTGGCAGGAGGTGGAGAAAAGAGAGAGCCCTGCGCAGGGCTGTCAGAAGAACCTAGCAGGTCTCAGAAAGCCAGAGACCGTGAGGAAGCCCCATCCCCACCGAGCCACCCGCAAGTGCCCAAAAAGCTCATGGACACAAGGCTAGGTTTTTCCGCTTTGCCTCTTAATTCAAGGCAGAGCATCATAAGGAACACGCTCCACGAAGGGCAAGTCCCTGAAATGTCCTTCCGGCTCCCACCTAGCAAGGTGCACAGCTCACCATCTTCGTGTGTCCCTGTGAGGCTTCGTGGTCTCTGTGCACAGAACAAACCCCGGGAGAGGGATTTTTAAGACTCTGCACCATCTCCTTCCAGCGGGAAGGTATTTTCACTAGGGACTATTAATTTAGGAAGCTTTCTGACAGCGCATCTCTCTGCCTTTTACCTCTGCCCATCCAACCCCCTCCCAATGACCCACACCCTCCTGAAGGACAAACTCGGTTACCCAAGCGCAGAATCCCAATGAAAAGCACTTAGCAAAGAAACAGGAGGCCATACACAGACACAATTCACTCATTCTTAACGCGTGTTTCAGAAAACTAAGAGGCAAAAAAAGACAAGGAAAAGGAAGCCTCTGGCTCCCATGAGTACTCTCCCTGATGCATTTCTGCAAAGCAGTAAGCCCCTGGTCCCACTAGGGTACGTCTCAAGTTGGGTCAAAAAGGTTTCTGCTTCAGTCCTGGGGGCAGAGGTGAAAGGATGGCCAAACCCTAGATGTCAGACACAAGGGCCCGAGGGAGGGTTTGCCGTCGAATGTTTGAGAGAAGGACGCATGAGCGGAAGGCGCCCTCTCGTTCACGGCCCTGAGGAGCCGTTCTTGCTCTGCTCGCCCTTCCCCCGAGCACTCACACTGGGGACAGGCCAGGAAATATCCTCCGCAGGCAGGTGCCGATGTGGGCCAGCACGTCGCTCACGTCCTCGGGCGACGCCATCTTCATGGTGACGCTGTACTTCTCCGTCTCCACCACCATCTGCAAGAACCAGGTTGGACGCTGCTTAGTACTCAACACAGTGCCTTGAATTCTCGGGTTGAAGTCACCTAAATGATATACTCATGCTGACCTATACCAACGCAAGACCAGCTTTTCAAGAAGTACTCCCTTAAAATAACAACGTTAGTTAAGAGTTGAGGCACTGTTTGGGGAGAGGGTGGAACAGTTGTCGGAAACATCCAGAAACTGAAACAAGGCAAAATTCCCACAGGACCCCCCTCCCCGACCCACCCACCCTGGCCGTGTAATGGAGACAGGATAGTCTCCTTTTACCAAGGTTTGGTCCTGAGGTGTGTGGTCTTACCAAGTCTGTTAGATCCCTACTCTCCAGAAGAAGTAAGCATACCTCCTTCAGCAAGTAGCCAAGGGCAATCTCATCTTAACCTTTTTTTTTTTTGGGGGGGGGGGGACATATTCTAAAACCAAGATCCCCTGTGAGATGTTTCAATGAAGTGTTAAAACCTTTCGTCTGGTAACAAAAATCAAATGCTTATAAAACATTTCGACTTTTCTAAAAAGAGAGACTTCTTGGAAAGGATTATATGACAGGAACAAGGTCATCATGTTCAGGGCTAGGCAAAGAATCATTCCAATTAAATGCTGGGAAATGTCCAAAGCTTGCCACCAAAAATGTTGACACTGAGGTCACAGAGCTTGTACTGTAAATAAGCATAAATCAGCCTGAGACAAGGGGCAGGTCACAAAGGGCAGCTGGTTGTTTATGGACACATTTCAAATAAAAAGAACAAACATCACTTAAAAAAACACACACACATTATCTTGGATCTCAAAAATATTCATGTTAAATGCAATCTCTTTGGATTTTCACTGCATCAAAACAGCCTCACATATTTACTCCCTGCCTGTATGTAACTTGTACAAAAACATGATGGGGGAGTACTACACTTAGGGTGCAACTAGCCAATTAGGTTAATAAAGCAGTTTTTAGATTTGTTTTAGGCTGTCCTAAAATTAGCTAAATTAAAAATAATCATCTGTCTTTCAAAGTGTTAACAGTAAAAGGAAAAGTAATGTGGGGCACCTGGGTGGCTCATTTGGTTAAGTGTCTGCCTTCGGCTCAGGTCATGATCCCAGGGTCCTGGGATCAGAGTCCCGCAATCAGGCTTCCTGCTAAGCAGGGAGCCTGCTTCTCCCTCTGCCTGCTGCTCCCCCTGCTTGCGCTCTCTACCTCTCAAATAAATAAATAAAATCTTTTAAAAATTTTTAAAAAGGAAAAGGAATGCAATTTATTTGGCAAAATGATGAGATCAAAGAAAAAGACTTAAATGACCCACGAGCACCCCAGAGGTCTCTCTCAATACCTATCACCTCTGTGTCAGTTAGTTGGCTCTCCATATTAAAAAAAAATTTGTTTTTTCAATCCTAATTTTCATGCACTGGTCTGTTCTTCTAGAAGGTGGCCCAAGGAATATTTCTCCCCCAAAAGGCAGCAAGAATGGGAGTTTATTTACTGTTCAGCCCCAGGATGTCCCAACAAAGTACCTTCAGCAAATTAAAGAGGCTCTTACAGCTAGGCTGCGAGGTCCCACGTGCCCGCATCTGTGCGCATGTATGTTTTAAAGAAGCCAGATGCTCTGGGACGCGGCCACTGGGTCGGTGCCCCGCGCCCCGCCCCTAACATTCCCACCGTGAGTAATTATATTTTCACTAGGGGGCACTTGCACTTTCCTCCCATCTACTGCATCTATCTATTCCATTCACGGTTTGGGTGTGAGCAATTAGTAATTAGCTTATTCTAATTCTGCTTCATCTTAACACCTAATCATCCTTAATTGCACAGGATTGAATAGAATGACAGGGAAGAAAAAAAGGTGACAGGTGAAAGGGAAGAAAGGAGGCCTTCAGATTCAAGCTGACACGAAGGCAGCTCACAGCCCCAGAGAATATGTCACCACCTTGGGCTGATGGAAAGATTGCCACAGAGAGATCCAGGGGACACTCTACAGCAAACCTTCCACCACGAGAAAGAACTCCTTCTCATATGCCTCTGTCCCTCCTATTGCGGCTGCTGAAAAACCAAATGCATGCACCAATTCTGGCTTTGCCACCTAGCAGGACAGAGCCCATGACCTCCAGTACACATTTAAGACAATAATCAGCAGTATCTTATTTAAATAAAATAATAATTGAATAATTAAATAAAATCTACAATAATAAAAATAAAATAATCATCAGCAATATCTTATGTAAGATTCAAATTTCCAACCCTACCCTGCCTCCTTTCTTTAAGGTAAAACAACCTGGCTACACACGAGCACTTTTAAATAAATGTCAGCCAACAGATCTGTCAAGTCTTTTTCATTCTTCTAGCAGAAACAGCCATGGGTTTGCCAAAATCATCCTATGACACAGCAAACAATTAACCTTATAATTAAGAAAAAAAAAAAACAAACAGGTGGTTTGGTCGTACAAGAAATTGTCCAAAAATTCTGTAACTATAAAACCATATAATGGTTGGTCTCACTGTACTGACCACAAACAGGCAACAGAATTTCCACAGAACCTGGATGCCAAAAAGTGCCATGGCAATGAGATTTGGAAAATAAGATAAAGGTCTCTCACATTCCCACAGGGAGGAGGAAAAGAGAGCAGCAGTAAATGTCACATTACACCAACTCAGTAACACAATGCACCTCTCTCACTCACACACGAGGAAGTGTGAGGGTCCCAGGCATGTGATCTGAGTTGACAAAGCTCCAATTAAATAGTGATTAAAAGTGAATCAATCCCAGAGAACATTAGAAGAGAATGGGGATGGGACGCCTGGGTGGCTCAGTGGGTTAAGCATCTGCCTTCGGCTCAGGTCATGATCCCGGAGTCCTGTGATCGAGCCCCAGATGGGGTTCCCTGCTCAGCGCAGAGCCTGTTTCTCCCTCTGCCTGCTGCTCTCCCTGTTTGTATACTCTCTCTCTCTGACAAATAAATAAAATCTTAAAAAAAAAAAAAGCACGTCTCCATCAAGGGGGAATTGTGAGTGCCACAGGCAGATACTATCATCCTTAGGATTTCATGTTAGAGAATATTGGAGAAACCACACATCAAAGGTCCCGGTTACCCAGGTTACTATTTCTCAACCTCTAGAATACGAGACTCAAATGCCTGCCCCAGACACACTGAGTCCTACCCGCTGTGTGCATGTGCGTGTGTGCGGGGGTGTGATGGGGCAAGGGTACTGCTGAGGTATCAGTGTTTCTAAACAGCACCACAGAAACTTTTGAAACGTCAGAATTTGAGTGCTGTGAAGCGCTCAGCATCACAGGCCCCTCTGTGGAAGAGGCCCCACCATCCCACTGTTCCTTCATCCCCAAGGTCCACACTAAGCTGAGGCAACGCTATATAGACCCCTCCTCCTGTTTTCACCAGGCCAACAGCCCCATGGGCCTGATACCACCTGAGCTCCTCTGAATGCCAGTCAGACAGAAGGGACGGGACTGCAGTGTCCCTGGACCAGACCAGCACCAGCAGCCACACGGGGAAACCAGTCTCGCTGTACCAACATCCTCTCTCATAATTAAACCCCACAGCCAAATCATACTTTGAATATAACCTTGGCATTAGCATCTCAGTAGTGCCCTTTTGCTTGATCACAACCCTGACATCGTAAACATAAACATCCCAGAATGAAGACCGTTAAGAAGGCCCTGGTTATGTCATCATTCATGAGTAATCATTCACTCCTGCATATGTCTGCCATTTGGGCAAACATATGGTGCTGTAATTTTTCTTCCAAACTCCAGTGTCTAAAGAATGCTAAACACACAGGATAAACACTGCTCTCAGATGAACTATGGAAAAGTTCCAAGGATTTGTATGTTAACCTTGATCAACGTAAAATGACAGTTCTGACAACTTTTAAGAAAGTCTACACACACACGCACGTGTGCAGACACAAACACACATTCTCTTCATAGTTTTGAAAAGCGAAAAGTAGAATGAAGGAAACAATAAAGATCAGAGCAAGAATCGAGGAAATAGGAAGCAAAACCAATAAAATCAATAGAGAAATTCAATGAAACCAAAACAAGTTCTTGGAGAAGATCAACAGACTCGATAAACGTCTAAGCAGACTGGTAGGCAGGAGGGCAGGGAGAAGAACTAACCGATCAGTAAGAGGAGTGACGTTCTACAGATACTGAAAGCGTAACAAGGGGATACTATGAACAACGTTGCACCAGTAAATCTGACAACTGAGATGAAACAGGTAAATTTCTTAAAAGACACAAACTACCACAGCTCACTCAAGAAGAAACATATAAATGCATCCATATCTATTAAAGAAATAGAATTTTTCGTTAAAAACCTTCCCGAAGAAGAAACTCCAGGCCCTGATGGCATCACTGGTCAATTCAACCACACATTTAAAGAGTTGGTTATTCTAAATTTTTCTAAAAAATCAAAAAGGAAGGATTGATTATATGATCACTCTAACACAGAATGTGACAAAGACTTTTTTTAAAGAGGAAAGTACAGGGGCGCCTGGGTGGCTCAGTGGGTTAAGCCTCTGCCTTCGGCTCAGGTCATGATCCCAGGGTCCTGGGATCGAGCCCCTCACTGGGCTCTCTGCTCAGGGGAGCCTGCTTCCTCTCTCTCTGCCTGCCTCTCTGCCTACTTGTGATCTCTGTCTGTCAAATAAATAAATAACATCGTTTAAAAAAAATAAAGAAAAAAGTACAGTCAGTAACTGTCATTAACATAGATGCAAAGATCCTTCACAGACTTTTGACTAGAATCCAACAATATACAAACTGGATAATACGTCATGACCAAGTAGGGCTAATCCCAGGAATGAAAGGTTGAATTAATACCTGAAAGTCCATCAATATAATTCACCTTATTAACAAACCAAAAAGAAAACAAATCCACATTAGAGAAAAAAAACTGTGACAAAACAAACTAATTCCTGAATAAAAAACTCCCAGCCAACTTGGCATAGAAGAGAAATTCCTCAACCAGATAAAGGGCATCAGTGAAAAACCTCCAGCTAACGTCACTCGTAGTGGAAAGAGAACGGCACTCTCCCTCCAAGATGAGGGAGAGAACAAGGATGTTTGCTCCCAGTGCCTCCACTCAGCACTGATCCGGAGCTGTTAGTGAGGACAGTGCCCAGGCGCTGAGATCTGACTTCACCGCACCTAGAAGTGAACCAGTTAGCCTGTCGCTGTTTCGTGGACGCCAGCGGTACACAGCAGCGTCCTGGATCACACGGAAAGGACTTGACTATTCATGGCACAGCAGAGGGCATGAGCACCAAGCGAAAGGAACCCTGGAACCTGGGTAATCTGTTTTCACAGTAAAGAGTAAGCAAGCCCACTCTTTGTTCATAAGGGCACATGCCATCAGCTCACGTGGATACTCAGGGCAAACAGAAGCCCGGAAAGCAGCCTGCGTAAAGAGAAGTCACAGCATGGAATTCTGGGCACAGCCGGCAAGACATGCAGGAACCTCAGAGACCCACCAGCAATAAGGCAGAAAAAGAAATAAAATGGATCAATACTGAAAAGGGAAGAAGTGTAACTGTCTTTATTCACAAACGACACCATTGTCCATGTAGAAAATGATGAAATTCGTTTTTAAAAGCTACTCGTACTAAGAAGAGAGCACAACCACTTGTCAGGATACAAGTTTAATATGCAAAAGTCCACCATGTAGCTATACTAGCAAGAATCATTAAGAACTGGCATTTAAAACAATACCGTTTATAAAAGCATCACGACATACAGGATGCTTGGGAATAAATCTGACAAAAGATGTGTAAGACCCGTACACTGAAAGCTACAATAAAATGCCGTAGAGACACAATGAAGAAGACCTAAATAGTGTAGAAATACACAGCTTTCTTGGGTCAAGGACTCCATACTGTGAAGACGTCAATTCTCCCCAAACTGGCTTATAGATTCAATCCAATACCAACCAAGATCTCAACAGCCTTCTCCATAGAAACTGAGCTGAGTCTAAAATTCTTATGGAATTGCAAAGGACCCAGAACCACTGAACAACTGTGAGAAAGAAGAACAAAGTTGGAAGACTAACACTATCTGATTTCGAGTCTTACTATAAAGTTACAGTGATCAGGACGGTGTGGTAGTTGCATAAAGACGGACAAACAGACCACAGGGACAAGATTCAGTCCAGAAACGGACCAACACTTACACGAACAACTGATCGCCAGCAAAAGTGGAAGCCAGTTCAGTGAGGAAACAACACTGTTTCAAACAGGTGGATAAGCCACACACATGCAAAAGAAAACATACACACACACATACACACACACACACACACACACACACCAAAAAGAACCCCCCACAGTGCTTTATATACAGAAACTCCTTCAAAGTGGATCATAGAGCTAAAATGTATAACGTAAAGCCGTAATACTCCCAAAAGATATAGAACATTCTGTGACCCCGAGTTGAGCAAAGATTTATTCAACATGACACCAGCATATCCATAAAAATATATATATAAAGACAAATTGGGCATCATCAAAATTTAAAACTTGTGCCCTTTGAAAAGCACTGCAAAGAACATGAAATGACAGGCTGCAGACTAAGGAAAAACATACGTGTAAATCATGTATCCAAAAAGGGATTTGTATTCAGAATATACAAAGAACTCTTAAAACAATAACAAAACAACTCAATTTTAAAAATGACAAAACATTTTAAACAGCACTTGAAAAAGGCACATAGATGATGGCAGACAAGCAGATAAAAAGATACTCAATATCTTTTTCTTTTTTTTTTGAAGATTTTATTTATTTATTTGACAGAGAGAGACACAGCGAGAGAGTGAACACAAGCTGGGTTTGGGGGGGTGGGGAGAAGCAGGCTTCCCGCCCAGCAGGGAGCCCGACGAGGAGGTTGGGGGGCTGGATTCCAGGATCCTGGAATCATGATCTGAGCAGAAGGCAGACGCTTAACAACTGAGCCACCCAGGCGCTCCACTCAACATCTTTAGTCATTGGAAAAATGCATATTAAAACTACAATAAGAAAGCATCACACACTTTTCAGAAAAGCTAAAATTAAACACAATGACCATGCCAGTATCAGGAGAATGTGGAGGAACCGGGACCCCCCATGCACTGTTTGTTTGTGGCAATGTCCAATGGTATAATTACTTTGGAAAACAGTTCAGCAACTTCTTAAAAAGTTAAACATGCACCCACCATACACTTCAGCCATTCCATTCCAAGATATCTACCCATGGGAAATGAAAGCCTCTGTCCAAAGATTTGTACATAAAGCTTCACAGCAGCTTTGCTGGTCTTGGCCAACAACACAAACAACCCAACTGTCCCCCAATGGGTGAAGGGATAACAAGGCAGCTGTGGTACAGCCCACAGTGGAATACAACAGAACACGAGGGGACGCAGCGGGACGCAGCAGGACACAATGGGACAGAACAGAACACAGTGGAACACCGCTCAACAATAAAAAGGAACTATTGAGACATGCAACAAAATAAATCGATCCCAAAACAATTATTCCGATGAAAGAAGGTAGGCAATAAAGTATCGGACTCATCTCCAGCTGCAGGGCGCTGACGCCCACAGGTGAGGAGAGAAAGAGGGAGTGCTGACTGGCCGATATGAGGAGACTGTGTGATGAGGACTAAATCTGGCATCTCGACTGTGATAATTGTTTCATAGTACACATATGTCAAAGCTTAACCACACTGTACACTTCAGCTTGTGGTATATTACTTATTATCACTCAATAAAGCTGTTTTCAAAAACCTGCATCTTAGGGACACCTGGGTGGCTCAGGTGGTTAAGCATCCAACTCTTGATTATGGCTCAGGTCATGATCCCAGGGTCCTGAGATCGAGCCCCACGTGGAGCCCTACCTCAAGGCCCGTTATCAGGCTCGGTTCTCAATAGGGAATCTGCTTGAGAGTCTCTCTATCCCTCTCCCTCTGTATCTTCCCACCATGAGCTTTCTCTCTCTCTCCAAAATAATAAATAAATCTTAAAAAAAAAATCCGCATTTTATTAATACCAAAAAAAATTTCATGCATCACTATATTCCCAGAAAGACCTTATTAGATACTGTTGTATAATAGCTACAAGATTTTAACACTAAACCTTGTTGTACAAAGTCTCACGTTTACATGCCCAGCTCACATAAGAGCTCACTGGTCCTTCTCAGACTGAGTTCCGCAGAATATGTTTACCTTCTGAGAACAACACATCCCCAGCCCCGACCCACGCAGCCCCCTGTTCAGTCTCTCATTCAGAAACTTCATTTTCCCTAATCTGGTTTTCCGACATTATCTCAGAGACTTTCAACAGTGAAACCAGACAGGAGTTTCCCAGTTTCAGAAACCCAAGAGAGGTTAGGGCCACGCCGTCGGGACACACAAGCTGCTGCTGTTGGCACGCACCTGAGCGGACTTGGAGCACATGACACCATAAATCTCCAGGTAGCTGAAGGTTAACTCGAGCTGCAATTGAAATAAAAACCTGTAATGAATGAGGGTGGCAAAACCTAGACTTCACGGTGAAAATGCTACAATTACAAACAGTCTGAGAGCCAAACAAGGTTCTGGGTGTCTTTGGAAGGCAGGCGGGCTTACCGTCTCCATTCCTGCATGAAGATAGGACCTTGATTACCGTCTTTCAGAAAAAGTATTCTTCACTTTACTAAAGGGCTGAAAGGAAGCTAGAAGTCTGACTTTTTAAATTTCATCGAAGGACAAACTCAATGGAAAGTTTTTACACATCTACTCTAGTATCTCTTCATTGAGAGATGAATGTGTATGAAATGAATGCTCTCCTATTTCAAAATTTTGCTCCAGAAAGTCCCATCAAGATGACGATGTTGGTTTTCCCTTCTCTCTAAACCCTTACCTCTTTGGGTGACACTCTGGCCACTTACTGGAATCATTTTCATTCCTTCTCCATCTTTCAAAAAAAATGCCTATTCTGAATATATTTAGAAAAATACAACATATAGAAATTTTAAACTGTGGTTAAATGAAACACACAGTTATATAAAACTTTTATCTCTGTGGGCAGATAAATGATTTATTTCCTTCCCATTTTAATAAGTGACCCTTTCTCTCTTCTCCTATAATCAGCATTTTTTTCCCCTTCAAAATAGCTCCAGTCCCACACTTTCCCTATTTTTCCTGGACAACAGCCACTAATCTTTCCCCCAATTTTGCAGTCTTTCATCTGACTACGGCAAACAATCCCAGCACACCTGTTAGAGGAGACTGAGTGAGATCAGTTTGTTTGAACTCTTTGCCCTCAAACTAGAAAGGTAAGGGGGAAAGTACCTTCGAGGGAACCAAACCCACAAGACCCTCAGTGGTGCCCCTGGGTGCTATGCTGTACCCTATGCATTTGGTAGGATAAACTTTACAACGGAGAACCCCTGAATCTACAGCTAACTATCTTGATGTCTAGCGCTGAGGGCCAGAGGTAGAGAAGTTATTCTTTCATTATTCACTTAGTCAACCCAGAGACGCATGTGGAAGGCCTAGTATGTGCCAGGACTGGAACTGGAAAGAAGGAGGACATAATTCTCTTGTCCTCCCAGAGTCAAATGCGGCACTGGAGGCGAATTCTAAACATTCTATTCGAGTAGAAGTCTTCTTACCTACCATTATTATCAAGACTGATGCCTGGCTGGGTTTTGAAAAGTCACCTCAAGCAGGAAATCATTTTCTAAAAAGTATTCATATCTATCTTCAGTTAGTTCAAAGCAAAACTTGTAAACATCGTTTCAGTGGCTAGCCTTTGATAGAGTGACCACATTTCCTCTTTGAGTAGAGCCTACTGGCTAGCCTGGCAACTGTATTTCCTCTGGGGGCCACACCCGCAAATGTAGGGCACCTGCCATCCAATTCAAGTCTCTCCAAAATGGAGTGAGGGGGTACCCAGGTGGCTCAGTCAGTTGAGTGCCCAACTCTTTTTTTTTTTTTTAAAGATTTATTTATTTATTTATTTATTTGACCGCTCACAAGTAGGCAGAGAGGCAGGCAGAGAGAGAGAAGAGGAAGCATGCTCCCCGCTGAGCAGAGAGCCCGATGCGGGACTCGATCCCAGGACCCTGGGATCATGACCTGAGCCGAAGGTAGATGCTTTAACCCACTGAGCCACCCAGGTGCCCCTGAGTGCCCAACTCTTGATCTCAGCTCAGGTCATGATCTCGGGGTCATGGGATCGAGCCCCACGTTGGGCTCCGTGCTCAGTGGGGAGTCTGCCTGTGAGTCTCTCCCTCTCCCTTTGCCTCTGCTCTTCCATGTCCCACCACTCCCTCTCTCTCTCTCAAATAAATAAATCTTTAAAAATAAATAATAATAAACACAATGGAGAATTTGAAGACACTTGCAAAGCAACTTGAGGGTATAATTTTACTGAATTACTATGCTCCCCACCACCTCAGCCTTTAACAACTGTCTGGTCCTTAACAAGACAGTAATTTCTTTTTCCATAATTCACCTTTACCAATATTTAGTATTGCACAGATACTCTTTTGCAGCCTATTTCACTGCTATGTGAAATACCTTTAATTAAATAAATGTACTGCTGTCATGACAGCTGCTATGAATAGGTTTGGAAACAAACCGCTGAACCTCAGTGGGCACTCATTCAACTGGTGGGAGCAGGTGTGAACAGGCCGGTGCTCTCACCGCCCAGCAGCTACGAAAACCAGCTGGCATGAGTCTGCACCATGCGGCATGGCACAGGTACCCTGTGATCAATCTGGCGGAGGGAGGTTAGTTGGAGGTCAATTAAGACGTTTCCATGGCACCCGGGGCTGTCACTGAGAGAAGCAAAGTGTCAGGGAGCAGGAAAGCATGGAGACATTTGGCGAGGCTCTCAAGTTTGTCAAGGAAACAAGGAGCCAAAAGGGAAGTCCAGGAAGAAGGCGGGGGGAGATTCTTCAACCCAGCTTCTCTGTGGGTCCGTGCTTGATCTGATAATTACCCACTCCTGCCTGCAAAGCTGAGCTGGGGCCTTCGGAGGCGAGAGCAAATTTCTATTTCTTCACTGGGAGTGACTGCAAAAGTATTTACTTTGTGGGTTCATCACAGAGATGGACATTTCTATTTTGTACATCTGACTGCATGTGTGATACATTTAACATAAATACCAAAGAAAAAATGTTCCATCACTGCCCAAAAAAAGAGAAGACATTTATGCCATAATTAGTACCTACTGTATAGTACTGAGTATAATTATTTCCCCAGGAAATTGGTGTCATCGACACAGGTCTTGCTTCTCAGCCAAGGTGTGCTGTGGCACATGAAAACCAGGCTGGTCTAAGGGGGCAACGTGAACACACATCACTTTGGAAGAAACTGCTTTTCCCCATCTGTGATGCTGACGAGATCTGAAATCAGAACCAATGCCTGAACTATGCACATCATAGGACAAAGCCAGTCTGGGGGCAGAGCAAGGGAGGGGGCAGTATGGGATCAGCCAGCAGAAGAGGGGCAGCGACTGCCCCAGAGATAAGCTGCCTTTCCACATCAGAACATTTTTAATTAGGGGAAACATTATTCAGGGGCCTTCTACTCAATAGGGTACTTGACTATTTCTCAAGCCCATAAAACTTCCTTCTGCAATTAATTTTTCACCAGTGGGATAATGGTTCAGTTACTTCCTTATAGCCTGCCTTGGGGTGTTTTACTATATAGGCAACGTAGCCCAACACCATCCCCATAATAATTGATTTCATTTACGACACATTAGAAACAGACTCAGTTCACATGACCAAAGGGGGCGGGGACCAATAGTTGCACTCCTCGGAGAAACATCGTAAAATTTAGCATCTGTTATAATTGGGGGGGGAGGTAGGCAGCAGGCACCCTGAGCCCTGGACTAGCAAACAGTGAGCTGGTCTCTTGGCGAAATTAAATCGATCCTTTCAAGAACAGAGTGGTTTCGTGGTCGGGGATATGGAGCACAATGCTTCCCCGCTTTTCATGGGACGCTTTTAAACGAGAAGAGGAAAAACAATGGAGTAAAAGCTATTCGTCATCGCAACGCTGAGGTGCTTTCTGGGGGAGAAGGAAGGAAAATATGGGTGTGCTAAGAACACTCCGGACACACCGTCAACCGTGAAGTCGGCATCACTGAGGAGTGAGCGTGTGCGCGCATGCGTGCACATGCCTCATTCGTGARGTCTGCGTCGCTGAGGGGCGCGCGCATGCGTGCACATGCCTCATTCGTGAAGTCTGCGTCGCTGAGGGGCGCGCGCATGCGTACACATGCCTCATTCGTGAAGTCTGCGTCGCTGAGGGGCGCATGAGTGAGTGAGTGTGTGTGTGTGTGTGTGTGTGTGTGTGTGTGTGTGTGTGTGCGCGCGTACATGCGTCCGCGTGCGTGTTGGAGGAAAGGCATGGCCACTTACCTTGCTAGGGATCCGTGCTGTTACAAGGAAGGCCCGGCATGATGTGAGCACCTGTAGGAGAAAAAAGCAGCATCAGTATAAGCACCACCGGTGGGACTCAGAGACTCTGGTGTGACCCACAGGACTGAGGGACATGGAGCACCGAGAGGCCACGGGGCTTGGCTCCTGGCGTGTGAGAAAACTAAGGGAACTGGGACGGCTGCTGGCCATGAGAGTCGCTGCAGGCACCGAACAAACCACTTGTGAACTCTCAAGGGGAGCGGTGGGTCAACGGCCCACAGGACCAAGAGATTACTTCAGCTGAGTCAGCACGACAGGTCTTACAGACGGACAGTCATGAGCCTCCCTATAACAGCAAACTGAAGGAAGAAGCCAAGGGCTCATGCACGCTTTCCAATTACAACCACCGGCCACGCTGGCCCTCTAGCTTTGCCTTCTCTGTACACAGGCGGAAAACACTTACACAAGGCCCAGGCCACATAACCCGTGTACTCCAAGCTATCCCCAGCTAAGTTTCTCAGCAGGCTTGTCCCAGTCCTTGAGAGAACATGTATGGAAGTTTTGATTCCAAAACTCAGCTAAGAACATCGATGGAGCCCAGAGAGCCCCACATGCCCTGCAGAGGCTGGAAATGGTTTGAAGTCAGGCCTGGAGGAGGGATCCCACATCCATGACTGCAAAGGTCCAAAGGCGCTTGGAGGCCCAGGCAGACCCCAGGGCCTTTGCAATGGAGAGGAGTCGCCTCTCACACTGTGTTGCTGCTGGGAGAACTGGCTTTTTCATCTCCCAGAGAACCTCCTTATCACTAAATTTAGTATTTACAATGCAGCACACATGTTTCTCTCTTCCAGGGGCACTAATACAAACAACTCCCAGTCTTGTCGCAAATCTGAAGCTCAGAGAAACTCCGCATAGAGGTAAATTCGTATCCAGGTCACAAAACTCACGTGCCGAAAGAGGACTCAGTATCACCTGTGACCTAAAACCCCCTTGTTTATCGTCTCAGTTTTCCATCTGAGAGCAGGTCCGGAGAAACTCATCACATTTGCCGGCTTATGGCAGCATTGAGACTGGACACTGGGACCCCTGACCCCAGCATATTATATCTCTACACCTTCCCCTCACGTGCACAATACATTCAGTGCCAAAAGACCCAGACAAGAACAAGCCTTTCCAGTATTTGCAAAAATACATTATGCTCTGTGAACAGTCCTGCAAAGGGAAACTGGTCCCACGACATCCAGGATCGTGTTACAAGCACAGTAGCAACAACCACGACCAGTACTGCTGGTTACACCATCCCTGATCCTCTAAGAGCTAGAAACAGTTATTATCCCCATTTGAACAAGAAGAAACTAAGGCCTGGAAAGATTATGTCACTTCCTGAGTGACCCAGAAAGCAAGTGGCAGAGCTGGGATTCGAAGCTGGTGTGGTCTCGGTCCAGAGACTAATTCCTTATACAGACCGTCGGATTTCCAGAATCTACTTCCTGAAGGGTCTACACACATGCAAACACAGATGAGTCACAGAACTTTAAAGCCAGAAAAAAGCAAACAGGTATAAGCGTCACTGGCAGGATGAGGGATGTTTGAGGATCATAAGGAAAAGAACCTGTCCCTACTGGTCTGCTCGTCTGTCTCTGTCTTCTATCCGCCTACCTGTTTCTAGCTCTCTACCTGAGTAACTCAGTCTGTGTGTGTCTCTCCCCACCTGCTCCCCCTCTTCCACACTCTGCCCTGCCGTGACGGCCACTGCCCCCCACCAGGCTCCCCAGCTTCTCAGTCTCCAGTCCCTCCTCTGGTTCCCCACTCCCCACCCCCCACTCTGCCCTCATTTCTCAGCACTTCCCCTATGCCAAGCACTCGAGAGCATGTATCTTATTTATGCCTATTTCCAACAGTAGCCACCGTCACAGAGGAGATCCCGCATTCTTTCTGGAAGGATATTTCATTTGTAACACGGTCACAGAGACACTCAAACAAAACGTGAAATAAAAATGACAAGGCACCTTTTGACACGGTTGAACAAAGAGCACCTCGGTAATTAAGTGATTACAAGGTCCCCTGTGTGAATCTAATTAATAAGTGTTAGAAACTAATCTCAAACAAGCACCCAGCGGTGTGGGTTGGCTTCCCGCCTCTTCGTCGGTGCGGGGCTCGGGGGTAGGAAGGAAGTTTCCCCACAAGCAGGCTGCCTGCCTTCTCTGGACAAGCCCTCTCCAGATCAGTCACCACAGGGGCTTCTAGGTGCCACGGATAGAGTATTCACTGGGTCAGTACACTTTTTAAAAGGGAGAATTAAAACAAAACAAAACAAAAAACCCAGAATGTTCCTACGGCTTCACCCTTTGAATAAAGAGCAACCAACCTCTTGACCATGCATAGACACTACGACATCCTAATGAGCGCTTCTGCTTTCCCTCAGCCAGCCTGACAGAGCCTCCAATCCGTGCTCCTGTGTGCCAACTCCCTTTCTTTAAAAATATTCCTTAAGTACCCAGTGTCCTCCGGAAGTTGTATCCAGTGTCCTTTGGAATTTGGACACGGGCCAACAGAATTTGCCTGAAAAGAGTCACATCCATGTGGGAGCCCAGGCTTTGAAGGAAGAAGCTTTCTGCCGGCCGGTCCCCATTTCTGGTGGTCATCTACAGTCCCCAGAGGCATGAGGACTGGTCTTAGAAAGTTTGGGAGGGGGTGGGGTGGAGTGGGTGAAATCGTCCGAAGCCAACCCAGCCTTTCCCAAGACTATACACGCCTGCAAGCACCAGAGTGTAGCAGTATTTTGCAGCAAGAGAAGAAAACTACGAATGGCTTTATTCCAAGAATCCTGCCTCTTGGCCCATCAATGCAAACTGGGCCAATAAATGGGGCTACGTTCATGCTGGGAACCCCAAAGAACTTGGTCTCCTAGCTTTCCTGTTCAGCTCCAAGACTGCCCTGGGTTTTGTTGTCTTGGAGGCTTCAGAGTGCATACATATGGCGATCACACAGGAAAACTCCTCTGCGATTGATCCCAGTAATGAGCACCACCTCGGTGCTGGGAGTAACAAGCACCCCATTTGCTGATGTTTCTAGTCTGAGCACTGAGAATCCTGTGTTCCAGGACTCCAGGACCCTTGCTCAGCCTCCCTCCATGGGTTTTGGAATCAGGAAGGCAGATTTAAATTCTGGTTCTGCTACTCGCTAGCGGTTTAACCCCAACAGTCAGTGAACTTCCCGATACCTCAATTTGCTCATCTGTAGAACAAGAGGAATATTCCTCCACAGGACAAATGCTGTTATTTTAAGTAAGAAACCGATGTAGATAAAGGCCTAGCCCAGCTCCCAGAAGGTCTTTGCCAAATACCCGCTCTCTATCATTTTAACTGATGTGATAGCATCTTAAATTTCAATTCCCAAATTAAGATTAAGTAGTTACACTTGCTGGATTTTTTTTTTTAAATAATAGTTTTTAGCAACAGAACAAAACAAACAAAACCTACCAAGATTCTGAGATATCCTATAGGCTAAAATTTTCAGTTCAATATATTTTCTTGCAAAGTTAAAACAAACAAAAAACAACAAAAAACTTGGGGGCAGGTAGAGGGCCTCAGAAGAAATATCTGTGCTTAATCAAGGAAACTTAGTCACCAAGGATAAGCTACAACTTCCCTCCCACCTCCTCTGGGGAGGCCCATTCTTCCACAAAGGTCTTAGCATGCAAACCACATCTTCAAGCCCTATAATTAATTTCCTCTCCCTTTCATTGAAATGCAAGCAGCAGCCTTGCTCCCTCTGAGGCTTCTCCACTCAACTTTTAACTTCAAAATTTCACTTCGAAACGTTTTATAAAAATCCTCCCTACTGCTAAGACTCAAAACTTAGCAGAGGAGCCTAAATACTCTTACGGAAATTATATATAATGAGGTTGGCTATGAAGCCCTCTCACTGCATACTTCTTAAAAACTGAAATAAATACCTATTTCACCCTCTTTAATAACTCCATTGCCTAAACCCTACCACCGCACAGGTAATCCATAAATTCATGACACCTGAATCCACATTCTCTCGTGCAGATTACCAAGAATGCCTTTCCTTTAAAATTGGGCTCTACAGGGCAAATATTCAAAAAAGGGTCTTATACCCCCTAAGTACTCTCTAATTTGCAAGCAAACTAAACGAAGAAAGCCATGTAATACGTTTACCCTCTTCCAGACTCCCAGCTCAAAGGGTATCATGGACAAGACCTCTTTAATCCAAGACACACACTTCCAGGGAGAGAGACAGGCAGGTGGCGAGGACCATTATCACCACCGTGCAGGTATGAGTGACAGATGCCCAGAGCCTTGCACAAGATTGCCCAGAAAGTTGAATGAGAATAAAAAGTCTCTCCTGGCCCTGAGCCTCCTAACACACTGCACCCAGCCATGACAACCATCACCCTCTCTAGCTAAAGCAGGAGGAGGCTTCACCCGAAAGGAATACAAACATCATTTTTGCACAATTTCTGGCTCCTGATCCCTTATAACACTGGATCACCACACTACTGAGTATCTCTCTGTTTCTCTGTGTCATTAACAGATGTGCCCTAACGAGGCAGGATGGTCTAGTATAGGATCTGAAAATTACAGCCTATGGGCCAAATCCCGCACACCGCCTCTTTTTATAAATAAAGCTTTAATGGGACATGGCTACACCATTTGTTCGATGTACTGTCTCTGGCTGATTTCACACAGGCATTTTTAGGGCACAGAGGGCCTAAAATACTTACTCTCTGGTCCCATACAGAAAGAACTATCAAATCCCATACAGAAGGAGTTCGTCAACCCCTGGCCCAGCACTCTCAAGGGAGAAGCCTGGAGTGGGACGGTTGCCTGCATTTCAATTCGATCTACTATCTGTGTGACTTGGGCGGACCACCTGACCATCACTATGGGTCTGTTTCCTCCTCTGCAAATGGGAGCAGAAATCGTACCTGCACCCACAGAGCCGTGAGGGTTCACCGGGTCCGTCGTACGTGTGATGCAACCAGAAGAGCGCTCGCAGGTCAAACAGCACAACCGTGTGTATTT